GAACTTTCAATTTGTACTTCTCATTTGTATTTATATTTGGATCTTAAATAAATAACATATATTATTATATATACTAAATTCCATAACGAATATTTGGAGTACAAACTGGATAGAAAAAAGTGTTTTTGTAAAATTCAATATTCATATAAAAGTAGTTGTTTCAGAAGTACTTTTTCTTTCGTGTAATCCAATGTTCATATGAAAGTAGTGTTTCGAGAGGATTTTTCTTTCAGTTCGTATCTGACAGTAACTTCTTTGCATGATCTACACTTCTGTGTAAAAGTTCACTTTGAAATTGGTTGTACATGTCCATTCTTTAGAAGTTCCTACATTTTTTTTGCAAAAAGTTGGATAAGTACTAAAACTTAATATAGTATTCCGAAATCAAGAACATATTCGAGTAAATCGATATCAAAATTTTGATATTGACCGGTATAAACTGTAAACTAAATCATTTATGATTTGGATTTCAACAGAATCGACATCGAGGTGCTTTCCGTAGTAGCCCAACAGATACTTTCAATAGTCCAAGCCGTGAGGGCCCATGCGGTGAAATTCAACTTCGAAGGAACAGAAATATCACTCAACCCCGCCTGCTATGTTTGTATCACCATGAATCCGGGATACGCCGGTAGAAGCGAGTTGCCTGATAACTTGAAAGTACTCTTTAGGACCGTCGCCATGATGGTACCGGATTACGCCATGATAGGAGAAATTTCCTTATATTCGTATGGGTTTGTCGATGCCAGAAATTTGTCTGTCAAGATTGTCACAGTTTACAGACTTTGCTCAGAGCAGCTTTCGTCTCAGAATCATTACGATTACGGTAAGCAATCAGAATCTAATCGCTCGAATAACTGGAATCAATGAAGTCGCTCCGGAGCGCCAATTGATTTTTGTTGTTGTTTTATAATTTTATGATTTGTATTTTGGAAATGTTGTTATTATATACTTCAAAAATTTATCCAAATTAGTTCATGACTTTCTATTTTGACCTTTGCAGATCTAGTAGGTATTCAAAGTAGATTACTAAGGTGACAATGCACAAGAATTTGTCAATCGATACTTTTCAAAATTGTCAAATGTCATAATCTGTCAGTTGTAGTAGAGAAACCCAAGAGGGTATTTTGGGATTTAGTTGAGCACGACCGATTAACATCCTGTTGAAGTCCTCCAACATATATGAGCCCTGAAAATAGAGCCGGGCAAGTAGTGCAGAACGTCAGATTTGCAAAAAAAATTGAGCGCGTCAGATTAAGGTACAGTGGGTTGATTTCGAGCTAAAAATAGTACATTAATCAAAATCTGACCGAAGTAATTAAAATCCTTAATTACAATTAGAGCGTTCATCATGCATTACCCAATTCGCGCCTCTTTTCCTCTTTCCTCTTTCACGTTTTCTTTATCTCTGTCTCTCTCGCACCATTCTCACACTGCTTTCCGACGCCATGAAAACAACACAATTGTCATGGTGATCAAAACAACGCGGTTCGGTTGTTATATGTATAACGTTCTGGTTTGTTTGTGTTTTAAAGTTAGTTTTGGGAAGAAAATACTGTAAGTTAGCGAAGATGAGTGGTAATGAAAAAAAGTTAGTTTTCTGAAACACGAAATGGATGAAAAAGGATCAAATTTATCTACGTAGCAGCAAACCTGTTCGTAAGAAATCACAGACAACTTATATGTAGCACTAATAAATAAAGGCATGTGCTGTGTTATAAATTATTTATAACGATAATTTTTTTTCCTGATTTCAAAAAATTAGAACAAGAAAGTGCTAGAAAAAATGATGATCCACCGGAAGTTTCTGGGGAGAGTTCCAAATCAGATGTCCCTGATACTTCGATTGTTCATTGACAGCACCGTAAGAAATAATATGAATAATATTTCATATAAAAAAATCAATAGAGTCATTTGAGTATCCTTTTAGAAAATAATTGAATTCGTTTCTATCTTATATCTTTCTTTATAAGTTCAATTGTATACTTGATTATCCTCTTAGGTTACCAACAGGTTACGGGTGGACAAATGTCGATGAGAAATTGGAAATGACTTGGTTTGCTGGCAATCGATCACCTGATGCAGTCGAAGATATTATGACACCACTTGAGTAAAATTCTGTTTGATGATTTCATAACACGTTTTACATGAAATCAATACAGTGATATTAACAATTATTAGGATTTCTTGTTACAGATACGGAAACGGTAGATGATATACAAAATCCAATTGAATTCTTAGAAGACGAATATAACGATTCTACTGATGGGCGGAAGGTCGTGAAACAAATTTTTCATACATATATTTTATTTTCATATTTTTTCTGAATAAATTATACCTTTAGATGTTTTATTTTTTTCTGGCTGTTATTCGTCAAATATTATGTTGATTGAAACAAAAAATTTACCAAAATAATTACCGAAAAAAAAATATTTTCAGGACTTCAGAATAACGATATATACTACCATAAAATGTCAAATTTTGTGTTAGCATGACTGAAACATCAGGCATTTTTTGGGTTCACTCAACATTCTCTCTGAATATCTGACGCGCTCGACAACAAATAGGTTTTTTAATTTTTTACCCTTCTGAATCATACTCCACTACCCAAATCCGCAGATAATCATACACACTACCTACGTTTCGCGATGCATCGGTTCAGCAGAAAATAATTTGGACCCTGCAAGTGTACTGAACATGTCAATAGTAACAGAAAACTACCTTCTTGCATGACGTTATTCAGCGTTATTCATAGACTACATAGAAGCGGGCGAATGGGGGGGTCATCGATCAGTTAGGTATAGCTAATGTAGTAGCGTAGAGGGTTGGTGGCTTCAAGATTCTACCATATTGTAACGAATTGAAAAATTAACTGTCCTAAACAAATTTATTTTAACAAAATTTCACTATCACAATAATTTATATACAACACTTAGCAAGTCAATTCATCTTCACTGTTCGAATTCTTTGTTAACCGTTCGATTCGCTTTCTGAATACAGACTCCCTCTATGGACGGGAAGCAGGGCTTATATACCGGTAATGATCGTTTTAGATTTATCTAGAGGTCTCTGTACTCGCCTATTCTTTTCGCGGCGGTTCGCGATGAGTCATGTGTTTGCTGGCTGAGATATAGGTCAGGGCCGGCTTCAGATTCATTACAATATGTTGAGGCTGCTCTCATTGAGGAGTGTGTACTCCACCCAAAGAAAACTGTTTGGCTTACTGGGTGGATATGATGGAGCTGATCTTTCAGTTTGCCATGATTTCTGTTTCATCCCTTCCATAACCGATTCATTGATCTTGCCCAACCTATAATCACCCGTTGAATTTTTTTCGTGTTATTTTTGTTGGCTTTGGCTGATTTCAATTAGTAACATTTGTTTGTTTCTCCTGTTCATTCTATAATAATACTAATGATCCTCATTAATAATTTCTGGTAAAAATGATAAGTCAATAATTGTACTACATAATATATGTAAAGGGTGAAAACAATAGTTTGTCATTTTTGAATAAAAAAGTAAGGAATGAAGATAAAACATAAATATAAGAATGTAAATATCATCAGTACATAATAAACAAATGACACAATTTAAAAAAAAAACGATGTTTCGATATCACCGTAACAGTCTTTCGAACTATTGGAGCATTTTTTGTTATTCTTGAATATTTTATCTGATTTCGATTTCTTGATTGAATTTGGCAACGATGCCGTGTACGGTAATCATGAGTTGAAGTATTCGTTTGATTCAGGTGATCGGAATAATATTCATCTATTTCTCTGTGTTTCTCTCTTTGTTGCTAGTATATCTTTTGCTGCATCTAGCAACTATTGAGAGTATTTGCTCATACATCAACTGATACAAATTCATTGGTTACAATTAATATAACCTTTTCATTTCAATTAATATAAAATGTGAATCTCAAAATCCTCATTAATCATCCAAATTATGATTTGTATAATGAGTGATATTTCAGGAATGCGGGCGGTCAAGTCTGTTCTGTCTGCTGCTGGAAACAATAAAAGAAAATACCCTAATGAAGACGAGGATATTCTCCTGCTTCGCGCTATTTTGGATGTTAACCTTCCCAAATTTCTGAATCATGACCTACCTTTATTTGATGGAATTATTAGCGATTTGTTTCCTGGGGTAGTTTTGCCTCAAGCAGATTATACAAACTTGACGGAAGCCATGATCATATGTAGCGAGAAAAGGAAATTGCAACCCAAAGACTCTTTCCTTGTCAAAATTATCCAGACGTACGAAATGATGATAGTTAGACATGGGTTCATGTTGGTGGGATATCCTTTTGCCGGAAAAACTTCAACTTTGAAAGTTTTAGCTGATATTTTGACACTGATGAACAAAAAAGGTATGTTTTCAATTCTGTGGTGAATAATCTAATAGTGTAAATTTTTTTCCTATAGGACTTGGTGAAGAGAAAGTTCAATACCTGATCCTAAATCCTAAGGCGATAACAATGGGTCAACTTTACGGTCAGTTCGATCCAATTTCTTACGAGTGGTTCGACGGAGTTGTAGCGACTGGTTTCAGAAACTTCGCTACTGATCCTTGTCCTGATAGGAAATGGATTATTTTTGATGGACCGGTTGATGCGGTGTGGATAGAAAATATGAATAGCGTTCTGGATGACAATAAGAAGTTGTGTTTGATGTCTGGTGAAGTTATGTCAATGACTAACTCTATGTCGCTTATATTCGAGGTTATGGACTTGGAGCAAGCATCTCCAGCAACTGTAAGTATTGTTAACTGAAGCGATAGAAAAAGCAATTTTCACCTCTCAGTTCACCTCTCAGTTATCATTCCAATTGCTGTTCAGCACGAGTGGCAGTATTTTCTTGGGCCTTTTTGGTTTCCCATTACTGCCATTTCGTGATCCCCTTTCTCCTTGTCTTCTTTCAATACTTCAGAAATAATTTTCCTTAGGTCACGTTTCATGTTGGGTGTATTTTCTATACGTAAAGTTTGCTGAGTCATGAACACATTTCTTTCTATCGGCTTTCCTTTATATGAAATAATATCATTACAATAAATTATGTAGGAGTTTATGATGTTCATGTTTATCATATTACAAAAGAAACACATTGGCCACCTTCTTGTTTTTCTGCAGTATCAACTGCACCTTTTGTTGAATTATAAGCGTGTATTATTTCTGGTTTATGGGTATCATTATTGATTATTCCAGAAGTGTGCATGATGGACAAAAGTGTAACAATTTTATTACTTTTTTTGGCTTTTATGAATCCAAAGTACTGTTTTTGCTGAAAGCGAATATTGAGGTGTTTATTTGACGGTGTTTTTTATTTTCTATGAGTGCTGGTGGAATTTGCGGCTTATTTTTCGAATATTGTCACCTTGTTAGATCTGGAAAGCAATCTATCAGTCAAGGGGACATTAGTGAACCAATTATCTGAAGTTATATTGCGATTTGATCCAAGAATTGGTCTTGTTAGAAGTTCTACGAAATAATCAGCTAGATGAAGTACATTCATCTGTGTCGATTTTCCCAAATAAGGACAGGCATTAATTAGATATTTAGTAGAAGTGCCATTCAATAATACTATTTTTAGTCCATATTTTGGGGGTTTATTTGAAATTTACATTCGAAAAGGTCATTCGCCTCGAAATACAACTAGTTATTCATCTATGGGGACACAACCAGGTTTGAATTTGGTTCGACATTCTTCGATAAATTCCGTCCAGATTTCGGATATAGGAGCAAATACTGAAAGTGCCCTCCGTTCAGCCCTCGTCGTCTTGTCATCAAACTTTAGGGAAGAGGTTGAAAAATCAAATCTCACTTTAGTCATAGTTGTCCTATAACGAGTGCCACAAAGGAAATTATCAAACATGATTTAAGACGACAAATGATTGTCCTTCATTGCCGCAAGTATATTAATGCTCTATAGTGCTTTCAGTTCTTCTAGATTGGTTTCTGATACGTTCTTCGATGGGAATTTATATTTTTTATTGACCCTATTGATTTCTTGATTGGTATAGTCAATTGTTATATTTAACATTGTGGTGGGGAAAAATATTTGAAATATACGTATAGGATGCAAAATATGTCAAGGGAGGGACCCTGTCTTTATGTGGATAACATTTATCGCAGGTGTTTCTTCCGTTTCCTAAGATTCAGTAATCTATTTATATCCATTTTTGCCTTTCATAGTTTTGCCTTCTTGTACAATAATATAATCGAGGTCCTCTTCTGTTACTTCTGGAGAACGCTAAACAATTATTCAATAATTGGTGAGAAAAAATCCCAATGAATATACTACTTACCACATCTTGAAGAACCGAACCAGAAGGCCTTGCTGAACCTGAGATAGTTTTCGAAAAACACTAAAAATAATGGAACATAGAAAAAATGTTGGAGATTTGTCACTCTTTTATAGATACTTTCACGGGAGTTGTTTAAGTGACTTGGCACATTTGATTCCACTAAGAGCGGTACATATCAGAAATACGTGACGGACTGTGACTGCTCATCGTTTTGAGGTTCAACTCAGTATACCTCGAACATCACTGTTTAAAAACTCTTCCATTTGGAGAACTGCGTTTATGTGGAATAAACTTTCTGAGATCGTTTTTCCATATAAATTTGGTCTTCAGCGATTCAAATCGCTACTTTCGCACAGACACCGCTCTTAGTGCATGTTTTTGTTCTTGAAAAAAACTCTGATTTTAATGAAAAAGATGATAATTCAATATAACTGGCCGATACTCGATGAAAATTCATTAAAAAAAACTAATCAATATAGCTTATTGTATGATTTTCACTATAAAAGGGTTTTACAAAAACCGCGACACGTGTTTCGCATGAACTGTTTATGCTTGAAGAAGCTATTGTATAGCGAAATACGTGTCGCGATTTTTGTAAAACCTTTTTAGTTGATAACCTGTTTAGAAGATTTCACATGTTATTTCTTTCTTCAATCTATCTTCAATCTATCTAGATTGAAGGATACTCTTGTTTCTTTTATTCTAAAAAAACTTGATACACATAATATGGAAAACTATCGTCTCATTACCTTGTATTCATTAAGTTCTGCAAACAGCTCATTTTATACTAAACAGCGTTGTCTTTGTGCTGGGCTTTCCATCGTTAGTGCCATTTACAGCCTTCATGGAAAGATTGTCGATGCATAATCCAAACGGAATATTCTGTGACCTAAGTCAAGATCATACATGAGAAGTTTCTGAATAAACTCAATCTAAACGGAATTCTAGTGAAATCTCACGAGTGGTTCAGAATAGTTTTTGAAAGCAGAACTCAAAGGGTTGAAATCAGCCACACTAGCGCATATAAAAAATCCATATGTATTTCATCTTCACAAAAATATAATATTAGTGTACCTTAAGGGTCCGTTCTGGCTCTCATGTCATTTATCATTCATTTATCATTCACTCGCCAATAAGCTGACAACACTATTCCACTCTTCTCAGATGCATCAAAATTGCAACTCCAAAATATAATATTTGATACTATCAATATCCTACAAGGTTGGTTGAGCAACAACTCGTCACATCTAAATTCTTTTAAAACAAATTACGTTACATTCCATACTAGTTACAGTTCCAAATTACCTACCAGCATTTGAATTTGTGTGGTACTGCTATTGAGCTTTGTGCCTCTTTTGATTCTTGGAAAATTTTCTTGACAATGATCTTAGTTCCAAAATACATTGCAAAAGTCTCACCAACTTACTGAACTCCAAATGTTATCAATTAGAATGTTAAAAAGTGTATTGAACACCGAAGATCTACTATTATTCTATTATGTACAAATTCAATACAGAATTAACTACGCAATCACTATCTGGTGTACATCGCCAGTAGCTAAATATATTTTCATTGCGCAAAAACGAATAATTCGTCGTATAGCGAATTCATCGTAGCTGCAGTGATGTCGAAATATCTTCAAGAAACTTAGTAACCTTTTTTTTTGGTCTCCATATTTTGAAAGTCTTACCAATGATGATATTCATACATATATTACCAGAAAAAAATGGAATTCCACTCACCAACATCGCGTCAAAACCTTTGTCATAACATGATGTGATTATATAATATTCTCTCAAATGAACTGAAAATTTCTCACTCAATTTCACCACGTATGATATGAAAGAGTATCTTGAATATTGTTGGAATCAATTTTTTTCTTATAATATACTGTGTTTTCTGCTATTATTCATGGTTTGACTTGACTTGTCCTATGGCTTTCAATATGCTCACATAGCTGATAAGTAATCTATCTATCGTAAAACATTGCCTATGAATAATCAGCTAATGGGGTGAACAAATAATATTTATTGAATAAATTATCCCTTGTAGGTATCGAGATGTGGTATGGTGTACATGGAACCAGCCACTCTTGGTTGGTTACCCTTCATTCAGTCTTGGATTCCAACTTGCAATCCTCTCTGGTGTGGCGAAAGAAAAGAATACATCTTAGATCTGATCAACTGGGTGATACCACCTAGCCTCATATTCATCCGAAAGAATTGTGTGCAGTACTGCACTCCGGGCGAAATAAGTTTGGTGAAGAACATGATGAATATGATCGAGATGCTTTTAGACGATGCCTGTGCAGGAAGTACTAAAAAAGAAGAAGAAGCGAAATATATGGAAGTATGGATTCAAGCTACGTTTCTTCAAGCTGGTGTATGGGGACTTGGGTCTATTCTCGACACGGACTCTAGGGAAAAATTCGACGACTTCTACAAGCAGCTGTGGAAAGGTCTTCTGGAAGATTTTCCTTACCCTGAATCCTTGGAGAAACTTGAAGTTAGTATTCCGACGGAAGGACTCTTGTTCGATTACGCATACAATTACAAGATGAAGGGTAATTGGAAATTTTGGCCGGAATTGGTCAGAAATGAAAGGGTAGACGAATGTAAAAATATTCTTCAAGCTCTTATACCAACAGTGGACACAGCCAGGTAACATATTTCTGTTGCTGCTTGGTGAAAGTTTTCACTTTTATCATAGAAACACATATCACAATCAGTTGTTAGGAAGTCAAAATGAAAATTTGCAAACAATATCGAAAGGTTGAACTTCAAAACAGAAATAAAACACTGTTATCGATATGAGGGAGAAATAAATAAATTTGTGTAATTGATGAGTTGTTTATTTTGTGGAAATTCATGATCACTTTAATGAAATGGATGAAAACACTTTTGTCTAATTTTCAACAGTTATTTTATTTTTACGACTGGTTTCATCCCATTATCGTCTTAAGTAGTTTTTATTTATACTTGATAATGGGAAAAAACCCGAAACCGATCGAAAAAATAAAAATAAACATATATTCAAATGGTGAAATTAGTATCCATATTCTATACAAACTGTTGTTTATAATTTTTTTTGTGCTAGTCAATTTTAATTGAAAACACTTTTAGAAATGCATGAGTTAAGGGATCAGAATTTGCGTCAGGTGATTCAATTGGACATACTATTCTTTTCCTTTCATTCTGTTTCCTAATAGTAAAAAGTAATAAATGCCCATTATAAATGCAAAAAGCCAACAGAGTGCTCGAACAAAATTTCGTGATTTATCGCCACTAGCCACAGCTAGTATTGGCAGGTTTATCTTAGGCCTTCCTATTTTTTTTAACGCAAACGGGTGGCAAACATAAGATTTCATGAGCGTTAGGGTCGTTTTTTACCTGCAGTGGCGTATGCTTGGGTATTCAATCTAAAATACGTGTTGAAACTAATAACTATGTTAATTTTTTTATACACAACTGGTACTAATATATCATTTCAATTGAAATATTCACATAATAATAAATAGGAGTTATAGGTGTGCTTATTCAAGAAGATATTGATTATAAACAGAAATTATGGCGTGTTATCATCAGATAAATTCGATGGATCTTCGTCGAATGTTATGATTTATGGTTCTACGAATTCCTCAACTGAATGGACCAGTTTCCACATATTGCTCTTCTCCTTTTTAGTATGTTTAATATATTTTCATAATTTTTCGAAATTAACATTTCTCAAGGACTCCTCAAGGAGTATTTTGACATCTTTTATTTTATATGTCGCATTTCTGCTTGCAACGGAACCCTTGACTTGGGCCCAAAGTAGTTTAACGGAATTGAGTTCGCAATAGTGAGTGGGCTGACGCAGAATAATAATATTCAATCTGTGTTCCATCTGTCTGTTTTGAAAATCTGTTTTTCCATTAATCAGCTGCCGCCCCCATACGAATGACAACTCTCAGAAGTTGAGAAACTTGTGCGAGCTAAGGACTAACGAGGTCTTACCTTTTTACGTGTGATTCCTAACATATTCCTGGTCGACCACATATTTCAAGAAACGAGCTTCAATCGAACAGACTATGGCCAATTTTTTCAAACGATACTTCAATCAAATGGAATGTTTTTTGTCGATGCCACACAATAATATTCGCTTTTCTCCATGTATCAGTTGGTATTGTTTGAAATTTACTGAAATTCCACTGCAACATATGTAGATATATTTGATGGGTTCAAGGCTCACATTATTTTTTCGAGGGCCGGTATTTCTTTCTTTGAATGAAATTAATGTTTTGTTAAATATTTTCAAGTTTGCTGTCGAACGTCAGTTTATTGAACAACTAACCCAAAACATAACTAATTTTCCCAATACAAAGGTAACTTCCACAGAATAACTTTGTTCTAAAACTGAATCTATGAAATGAGATATTATATATCCTTCTAACAAGATTTCAAAAATGATATCTAAAAATGTTTGAGGACGTTTATGTCGATCACTTCGATGCGGTAAGAATTTTTTGAGTGCTGGATTAATTTTGGCCTCGATGGTATCGTATATAGGTTCTGTATCTATTTCATTTCCCCCCTGATGTGCTATACTTTCTTGCTGAATACTGGGGCTCCAATGAGTGCTAAAACTATGTTATATATTCTTGGTGTCAGGTGTCGTTCTTGCAAAATATATCCTAATATATATCCTATTGGTATTTCGATTTGCTTTTCAAACTATAACGATAGGTGAAGCCCAAGGATTTGGTCCTTTTACTGATTCGAAAATATCACTTTTCTGAAGTTTCGTTAGCTCGTTTACTTTCTTCCTCGGACGAAATGGTATTCTGCTATGTTTCTGTACTATAGGATGAACAGATTGATCTGAATGAGTGTGAAATTGATGACTTTTCAGTTTTCCAATATTAAATGTTCAAAATGAATACTTCTTTTACAACAGCCACCTGGGAATGATTCATTACTTCGCTGCTTGAAGAAGTATACTACATAATAACATGCTTTCATTACCATTTTTAGGACTTTTAACTTTCCACAAACTTAAAAAAATTAGTATGTATCACTTTTTGCAAGTGAAGAAAGGATACATTTCCAGTTCACTGCAATAATTCAATATATTTTTTCCTGAAAAAAAAAAAAGAATTTCTTCGAACTGTCAACGAGGTAACCAACCGCATATCCGAAATTTGCCCAATTCCTCGTATAAGGAAAGAAAACTTCTCACATACAGTCATTGGGCATACTTGAAGACTGGTATAAGTCGAATCATCTAAAGAAACGAATCGTTCAGGTCAGTCTCAACTCCTTACACTGTAGGTTAATGGACTGGCACTTATCGGAAAACAACAAACTTATTATTATTATATTTCATCAAAAGTTTTGTAAAATATTCTGCCTATTGAAAAAAAAAAGAGCTAAGAATTTCATGGGATATTTATCTTGACTTTTCGAAAACCTAGATCTGGCTCTGTCTTCAGAATTGAAAATCAGCTATATTTTGCAGTTTTTTTGTTTGTGAGTTTTCTCATTTTCAATTTTTTCGATAGAAAATTCCAATTGATTTTTATTTTGTGGAAAGTGGAGAGTCCCAAAAAAGGTCAATAAAAACTATGATTCGTGCAAAAATGATTTTTGTTGTTTCTCAAATATGTTTAGCTCTTCTGTTCCACAGATAATTATCACATCTTCAGCATATCTTTGTCAAAGTTCTTCGTTATATGAATTCATTCCACTGAATAATAGTTATGTTGAAATATTTCATTGAAAACTAGAGACATTATCAAACATCAGTCATCAAAATAAACGTACATTTCAGATATATGGCTTTAGTAGACATGCATATCCGATACAATAAACCTATACTTCTGATGGGACCTACCGGAACAGGGAAAAGTTTCTACATCCAAGACTTATTGATGAATCAACTGGATCAAGAGAAATACGAGCCAGCTTTCATCACTTTCACTGTTCAAATCTCAGCAAACCAGACTCAAGATCTTGTCATTTCGAAGTTGAATAAGAGGAAACGGAATCATTATGGGCCCCCTAAAGGAAAAACTACTATTTTGTTCATAGACGACGTGAACATGCCACTGAAGGAACAGTATGGAGCGCAGCCTCCAATTGAGCTTCTGAGACAGTATTTTGATCACAAGAATTGGTAATATACTGGGTGTCTGAAATGTTTATAACCAGCGTGATGGGGAATCTTTATTATTGAAAGTCACTGTGTTACTTTTAATAAATAAATTTGTGT